CTGTAGCCACTGTCACCGTACGCTGTGACAGTCTCCTTATTCCACAGATGAAAAATTGGAGGCTTAAAGAAGTTACAGCTTCCTGGCTGGGCGTGGTGGCTCACCCCTGTAATCCCAGCACTTTTGGAGGCCGAGGCAGGCAGATCACAAAATCAGAAGACTGAGACCATCCTGGCCAACATTGATTGTGAAACCTCATCTCTACTAAAAATATAAAAATTAGCCAGGCATGTTGGCACGCACCTGTAGTCCCAGCCACTCAGGAGGCTGAGGCAGGAGAATTGTTTGAACCCAGGAGGCGGAGAGTGCAGTGAGCTGAGATCACACCACTGCACTCCAGCCTGGGCAATAGAGTGAGACTCCATCTCAAACAAAAAAACAAACAAACAAAAAAAACAAAAAAAAAATTGCAGCTTGCCTAAGGCCACATGTATTAATATCTCAAGGCTGTCAAAACAAATTACCACCAACTGGGTGCTTTAAAACAACAGAAGTTTGTACTGTCACAGTTCTGGGGGCCAGAAGTCCAAAATCTAGGTGTCATCAGGGTTGGTTTCCTCTTGGGGAGTCAGAGGACTCCACGCATCCCTCCCAGCTTATGGTGGCTCCCAGCAGTCCCTGCAATACCACGGATCGTGGCAGCGTCACTCCAACTTCTGCCTGCACCGCCACTTGGCATTCCCCGTGTGTCTGTGTCTCTTCTCACAAGGATACCAGCGATGGGATTTAGGGCTCAACAGACTCTAGGATGATCTCATCTTCACTTGTAACTGCAAAGACCCAATTTCCAAATCAGGCCACATTCACAGGGGCCGGGGTTGAGACTTGAGCATGTCTTTGGAGAGGACACAATTCAACCCACAGCCTTATACCCGTGTCAGAGCTTGGCAAGGCCTCCACTCATAGCCTCTGTGTTCACTGCACTATTCGACAAATGACGCGTGAATATGTAAGTCCATGTCACCCATTTTACAGCTCGGGAAACTGAGGGGCACATGAACGCCAGCCTTCTGCTCTCCCATCTAAGGAGGCAGGACTGCTCCTCACAGAGCAGGATTTGTGTCTCTGCCTCTTCTCTTCCCTCCCCTGCCTCTGGCTGCAGACTGGGCTCGCACCACCAGCCTGGACCTGCTATTTACAGCTGGTTCTTTCTCCCGCCCCGTTGTCAGTGGGCACCTGCTCTGCGGTGGGCTGTGTGGGAACATTCTCTCTGCTGGGCTTTGTATCTGCTGCTCCTCCCCTCCCACTTCTGCACCAGACCAGCTTTCTCCCTGCTGGGCCTAGGATTTGCTGAATGGACTTGGAGCCCACGTCAGCCTCTGGCTGCTATGACCTGATTCAAGTCATATTTATTTTTCCGAGTCTGATATTCTCTGATCTTTTCTAATACTCAAAACCTTGATTTCACAGCCAGCTACTGAGCTGTGACCTGAAGTATGAAGTGCTGACTTGTGGTCCAGACGCCTCCAGGGCCGCTGAGACCCTCTGGGGTCTGTTTCCAGCTGATACCAGCAGCGCCCGGCCTGCAAACTGCGTGTCCTTTTTAGCTGAGCCAGCAAGTGGCACTCAGAGCTCCAGGCTCAAATCATGCCCTGGCTCTTCCGGGGGCCTGAGTCTCCAGCTTGTCATCACACCTTTCTAGATTCTAGATTTGTCTGCGTGCCATCCTCTCATCCTTGGGTCAATAGTGTATTAACTATGATTTCTTATTTTCTGCATTCCTTTTTTTTTTTTTGGAGACAAAGTCTCTCACTGTTGCCCAGGCTGGAGTGCAGGGGCACGATCTCAGCTCACTACAACCTCTGCCTCCTGGGTTTAAGCAAGTCTCCTGCCTCAGCCTCTCGAATAGCTGGGATTACAGGCGCCCACCACCACGCCTGGCTAATTTTGTGTATTTTTAGTAGAGATGAGGTTTCACCATGTTGGCCAGGTTGGTCTTGAACTCCCGACCTCGTGATTCACCTATCTCAGCCTTCGAAAGTGCTGGGATTACAGGCGTGAGCCACTGTGTCTGGCCATTTTCTGCTTTCTTAATGCCTGGCATTGTGGCTGCATAAAATGGGGAGAGACTGCCCCTTCCAGTGGGGGACGTCATTAGAGATTTCGAAGGACTGGAGTGTGTCTTTCACATGTAAACCCACCCATTCCAGGCCCAGACCCCCAACTTGCCCCTTATCAGATTCTCACACATCAAGGCAATATTTCCATGCCCTAAATCATCCCAGGCCAGAGACCAGGCAACTGGAGACCACCTCTACAGTCCGAAGCCCTCCAGAATGATCCCAAGGAGGCAATGCTAAACTCTTTGCACTCCCTGCCCTGATTTTCCCCCTAGGAAACCTCAATAGAGGGCCTGGCCTCGTTTTCCGCTTGCTCCTGCTTCTGTCTGGTTGCACCTGGAATTTCCTGTGCATTTCCCCTTCTCTGAGGACAGGTTAGTAGTGCGTTCTTTCAATGGCATTGATCTCTCTAAATCCCAGAGGTATAATTGTAATGCGCCAGCCTCTCCTGGGCCTGCAAACTCCTGGGTTCCACGGCACCTTGTATTTTGTGGTGATTCGAAGGGGTAGCTGTTGGGGCTCTGTCTGCTGAGGTATCTTCATCAGACACCTCATGCAAACCTGAGTGAGGGAAGGCTGTGCTGCTAGGCAGATGCACTCCTCCCTCTTGCAACTAGATGGCCACCCCTCAGCGCCCCCTGTGGAGAAATTCAGGAAGCACCACTCTTTGGATAATACATATACCTCTCTAGTTAAGCTCATTACCCCAAACTGTTATTGTTTACAAAAAATATATTATCTACTAGAATATGAAGACTGTCTCCACACTTAGGGCGATGTATGTATGTGTGTGAGTGTGTGTGTGCATTTATACGCATGTGCCATAAGAGCTTGATAAATATTTGAATAACTGAGTGAATGAATGGGTGCAATGTGAACTTAACCCTGCAGGTACCTGAACAGCTGAGAAGCAGAGGAGCAGGCGGCAGGGCTGGAAGCTGAAGCTGGGGTGTGTGTGGGAGGTGGTGTGTTACACTGACTGGGGAGAGGAATAAGCCTCAGAACCCAGCAGGACTATGGCTAAATCCTGATCTCAGCAGATTACTTGACATCTTGTTTCCTTAGAGGGTTGCTGGGAGATTAAATAAGAAAAATGCAAAACACTCAGAGACTGCACTCTGATGCACACGGAGAATAAGTGGCGACTCTTATTATTACTCAACCTTTCGGAGCCTCGATTTCTTACTCTGTAGTAGCATGTCATTGTCTGATGCTAAATGAAAACGAAGTAAAATTTGCAAAAAGGAGTTTCACTAAATAATACTTTGTGTGACGTATTCTAATATATTCCATTTTATACTAACTCATTAAAGAAAAAAGAATACTGTCAGTGACCCAGTAAAATTAAATCCACTAACGGACATGCCCTTAAGTTTTAAAAAAAACCCAGCCTACAGAATACATTTCTAAATAGACTTTAGGCCCGGGGCGGTGGCTCACACCTATAATCCCAGCACTTTGGGAAGCCAGGGTGGGAGGATCATGAGGTCAAGACCATCCTGGCCAACATGGTGAAATCCCGTCTCTACGAAAAATACAAAAATCGGCAGGTGTGGTGGCGAGCACCTGTAATCCCAGCTACTCAGGAGGTTGAGGCAGGAGAATCGCTTGAACCCGGGAGGCAGAGGTTGCAGTGAGCCGAGATCACACCATTGCACTCCAGCCTGGTGACAAAGCTAGACTCCATCTCAAAAAAAAAAAAATGAAATAAAATAAAGAATAAATCGAATTTATATTTTAGAGCAAAATTCAACAGAAAGTACAGAGAATTCCCACGTGCTCCCTGTCCCTACAGCTCTCCCCTACCCATCACCATCTCACGGAGGATGGGTGGCTTGCTACAGTGGATCACCCTACATGGACACCCATGTCCAGCACCCAGAGTTTGCATTAGTGTTTGCTGTTGCTAGTGAACATTCTGTGGATTTTGATCATTGTATAATGACACATATCCACCATTATTGTATCATACAGAATCATTTCACTGCCCTAAAAATCTTCTGCTCTACCTCTTCATCCCTCCCTCCAGAATATTTTTCACACAATCTCCAGGCCATAGATGATACTCAATCATTTGCAGTATGGATGATGCTGACGATGACGGTGGTGAACCAGAGGAGAGAGACACTGTTAGGAAGCTGCTGTAGTGCTCAGATGAGTGAGGTCAGAAGGACAGCTGTGGCTGCAAAGGCTGGAAGAGAGGCAGGTGTGGGACACTGTGCAGGAAGAGACAGGCCTTGGTCGAGGAGTGAGAAACGGGGAAGCAGGAACCACGGGACCGAGGGCTCTGGAAGCTAGTGAACTTGGTGTGGGGCTGCAGAGAGATCGGAGGTGGCAGACAGCAGGGACTTCAAGGCAGAATTGAAATCTGCTGAATGGCAGGCATCCCTCGGCTGCGACACCCACCCCGAAAGCTTGGGGTCCGGAGGCGGTCAAGCTGAGCTCTGCTCCCATTCCGCCGCGTGACCTTGGCCAAGTCCCTTCCCTTCTACGGGAGGCTGGACTGGATGTCCTCCTCGTACAGCTTTGCGGGGAAGGGGACCAGTAACACCAACACAGCACGACATTGTTAGGGTCGGGCAGGAAACGCTTCAAGGATCAGGCAGGAATTTTCTCCGAAAAAGAAAAGGCCGGCGAGGGTCTAAGACCGGAGGAGGGACCAGGACCTCGGAGTCGCCTTCTAAGGGGCTTCCTGGAGCACATTTTCCTGCCCAGCAACAGGCGGCAGCGTTCTCTCCCCACCCATCCTCTCCAAACAGCAGCGGGAGGGAACGCCTGCCGCTTCCAGCCGGGTCGCGGCCCCTTGGTGACCCGCTGCTCCCGGGGTGGGGCGGGCGGTCCGCGGTGGCGGCAGCGGGCTCGGCAGCTGTGCCCGTCTGCCCAAGGGTTAACCCGGCCCCTGCAGCTGCCGCGCGTGCCTTGCAGAATTTCACCAGAAGAGGGTACAGTTTGAAAAGCTCCTGACGTCAGGCTGGAATTCCTATTGTGTTTAGAAACGGCTCGCGCAAAGCCAGCCCAAGTTCGCTCTCCGCGCACCTCCAGCACCTCGCGGACGGCGTGGGTCCGCCAGCTCCCGGACCTGCGGCGGCTGCCTGCGCGCCCCGGGGCGGAGGACGGTGCCCGCCGCCCACGAGGAGACCCCGCGCCTGCAGGAGGCCGAGCTGAAGCGGCGGAGCGCGCCGCCCGCCAGCCCGGGTGAGTGCTCCGGGCGAGGCCGGCGGCCGCTGAAGCCCCCGCGGGCGCGCCCCGGGGCCCGGATGCCCGGCCGGAGCCCCCTCGCCGGGTGCATGCCTCCCCCGCGGCGCGCCCCCGCCGGCAGCTGCCCGCTGTGACCGCCCTTCCCCGCAGGCGGGCGCCGGCCGGGCTCTCCCCGAGATCCGCGCACGGGTGGCACCCGCCGGACCCCCGGAGGCGGCGGCGGCGGCAGGGGGCGCGGGGTCGGGGCTGCGAGGGCGCGCGCGCGGGGAGGATGGACGGGTCCGGGGAGCGCAGCCTCCCGGAGCCGGACAGCCAGGGCTCCGCGACCGGCGACGACATCGAGATAGTCGTCAACGTGGGGGGCGTGCGGCAGGTGCTGTACGGGGACCTCCTCAGCCAGTACCCCGAGACCCGGCTGGCGGAGCTCATCAACTGCTTGGCGGGGGGCTACGATACAATCTTCTCCCTGTGCGACGACTACGACCCCGGCAAGCGCGAGTTCTACTTTGACAGGGACCCGGACGCCTTCAAGTGTGTCATCGAGGTGTACTACTTCGGGGAGGTCCACATGAAGAAGGGTATCTGCCCCATCTGCTTCAAGAACGAGATGGACTTCTGGAAGGTGGACCTCAAGTTCCTGGACGACTGCTGTAAGAGCCACCTGAGCGAGAAGCGCGAGGAGCTGGAGGAGATCGCGCGCCGCGTGCAGCTCATCCTGGACGACCTGGGCGTGGACGCGGCCGAGGGCCGCTGGCGCCGCTGCCAGAAGTGCGTCTGGAAGTTCCTGGAGAAGCCCGAGTCGTCGTGCCCGGCGCGGGTGGTGGCCGTGCTCTCCTTCCTGCTCATTCTCGTCTCGTCGGTGGTCATGTGCATGGGCACCATCCCCGAGCTGCAGGTGCTGGACGCCGAGGGCAACCGCGTGGAGCACCCGACGCTGGAGAACGTGGAGACGGCTTGCATCGGCTGGTTCACCCTGGAGTACCTGCTGCGCCTCTTCTCGTCGCCCAACAAGCTGCACTTCGCGCTGTCCTTCATGAACATCGTGGACGTGCTGGCCATCCTTCCCTTCTACGTGAGCCTCACGCTCACGCACCTGGGTGCCCGCATGATGGAGCTGACCAATGTGCAGCAGGCCGTGCAGGCGCTGCGGATCATGCGCATCGCGCGCATCTTCAAGCTGGCCCGCCACTCCTCGGGCCTGCAGACCCTCACCTATGCCCTCAAGCGCAGCTTCAAGGAACTGGGGCTACTGCTCATGTACCTGGCAGTGGGCATCTTCGTCTTCTCTGCCCTGGGCTACACCATGGAGCAGAGCCACCCAGAGACCCTGTTTAAGAGCATCCCCCAGTCCTTCTGGTGGGCCATCATCACCATGACCACCGTAGGCTATGGCGACATCTACCCCAAGACGACACTGGGCAAGCTCAACGCAGCCATCAGCTTCTTGTGTGGGGTCATCGCCATCGCCCTGCCCATCCACCCCATCATCAACAACTTTGTCAGGTATTACAACAAGCAGCGCGTCCTGGAGACGGCGGCCAAGCACGAGTTGGAGCTGATGGAGCTCAACTCCAGCAGCGGGGGCGAGGGCAAGACTGGGGGCTCCCGCAGCGACCTGGACAACCTCCCTCCAGAGCCTGCGGGGAAGGAGGCGCCGAGCTGCAGCAGCCGGCTGAAGCTCTCCCACAGCGACACCTTCATCCCCCTGCTGACCGAGGAGAAGCACCATAGGACCCGGCTCCAGAGTTGCAAGTGACAGGAGGGCCCCCCAGGCAGAGATGGGCTGGGCGGTGGACGGATGGATGGGTGTGGCAGGCATGTCACCGACAGCACAGAAGGGCTGTCCTGTGTCCCCCAACCCTCCCCTGGAAAGACTCTGAAGGCCCTCCCGGCACCTCTGCCAAGGCTGGGTAAGACTCCTTTATGGTGCCTGCTGTCCAGGAGCCGGGGAGGGAGGGGCGTGCAGGAGCCACAGGGCAGTGTGGAGCGAGTGGAGGCTGTGGCCTGGCTGGCGCGGGAGCCCGCACCCGCTTCTGTATCTCCCTCAATAAAGCCTCCTGCTCTGTGCAAACTCCGTGTTGTAGGTTCTGTCACAGGCTGGCTGTCACCCCCAAGAGTAGTGCAGGCACAACCCAGTGCCAAGCCAGGAGGTAGGTGTGCAGCCCGGGGGGTGGGGGAGCTATTTTTAGTTGAGAACTAATTAAAGAAGGGCTCATAGTCAGGTTCGGCGCCAAGGAGCCTTGCCACATTCCAGGAGGCTCTGTGCAGGCCACGCTTGCCTGCTGCTTCCTTCTGGGGTAAAGCTTGCTCCCCGAGCAGGCCCAGGACGAGGGAGAGTCCACAGTGCGCGCTCAGCAGCCTGCTCAGCATTTAGTTATCACTTGCCTGGGGCCCTTTTCACAACCTCTTTCTATTCCTTCCAACGACACTACTAGCTAGGTATCTCCGTTTTACAGATGAGGAAACTGAGGCCCAAGGTCACACGGAACCGGGAACCATCCCAGGTCTGATGATCCCAAAGCCCATCTATTCTCTCTGAGACCAGGTGGTCTTGGGACAGAGGCACCTGCCTGGGCTCATGGCAGGAGCGTCTTTGGACCAGGAGAGGTGCTGATCTTCCTTGGTATGGGGGTGCCTGCCTTCCAGCCCATCTTTCCTTCTAGCCCTGATACCTTTGAGACACTTGCTGAATGGATGAACCTGAGTGTGGACCCCCGACTCCGCAGGGTGTCTCACCGCGTCTTGTCTGAGAGCCCCGGGGGGAACACATCAGACAGATCTGGGTTTGAAGCGCAGGCAGCGAGAGGGAGCTCTGAGAAGCCTTTGAACTTCAACGTTTTTCTCTAAGGCTTTTCTTCCACCACTCCCTTACCAGCTTTGTGACTGTAGACTGATTCAAGTCTCTGACCCTCATTCTGACCATTTGCTAAATGAGGGTATAATATTTAGTAAGTACTGCAGGGAATCGTGGCTTTTAGCATGGCACCTGGCATTTAGTAAGTGCTCAATAAATAGTAGCCGTTTCTATTACTCTGCTGGGAGGAAGGTGGGTTGCACAGTTGCTCACTCTGGCCTCCACTGGTCTGGGCTGGGCATGTAGGTGCGGGAAGGACGGGGGCAGGGCATTGTCACACTGCCCTTAGTCAAAGGCTAAGAGTTGGCCCCAGCAGGTCCCTTCCTCTGGGTTTCCATCTTCCCTGGACTCCAGAGCTCTGTCCTTCCTTCCTCCGCTAAGGTGCAGAGGGAGGAGCCCTCGGTGGGGGAGGCAGTGGAACTTGATGGGGGAGAGGGAGGTGGTGGTCCCCAGTCTGCCACCATCCCGGGCCAATTTTTCCCCTCCTCTGGGCCCAGGTTTCCCTATGTGTATAATAAGGGATGACCTCTTGAAGCTCCATCTAGGTCCGACCTTCCAGGATTTGGAAGTCTTAGGCTGTGGGTGCCCTGTGCCGGGGACTCTGGAGGGTGGGAGGCTGCCATGTTGTAGGGGTTGGAGTGGGAGGTCTTGGGAGAGAGTTAGGGCCTGTGGAGTGCAGGGCTCGGCTTCAGAGTTGCAAGTGATGAGAGTGTCCCAGGTAGAGAGGGGCCTGGCCTGGGCTGCGTGGCCGGGTGGGGCAGGCGTGTCAGCCCTGGCCTGAAAGGGGCTGTCCTGTGTCCCCTAGCCCTCTCCTGAACAGAGGCCCTCCCAGGCAAGACTCTTGTGTAGCTCTGAGTCAGCGCCGGGCACCCCGCCCCCCCCCATACCTTTCTCCAGGAAAATGCTGGGTCAGGGCCAAAAGGCAGAGGAGGCAGGAGGCAGTGGGTAGGGCAGCGGGAACCCAGTGCGGAGAGGAGAGGGCTGTGTGCTCTCCAGCAGGGAGAGAGGGGAGGGGTGTGGAGGGTGTAGTCTGTGCATTCCCCGGGCTCAGTGGGTTTGCTGGATGTGTGGGGTGCCTCTTTTTGTCAGAGCCTGTATGGGGGTAATACAGAAGGGGCTTCACAGAAGCAGGAGCAGCTCAGAGAGTGTGGGAGAGGCCAGGGTGACCTGGCTCCGGAGGCCATCTCCAAGCTCACCTGGGGCACTGGGGGGTGGTGTGGGGAGGCAGCCAGTGAGGAGCAGATTTATGGCTACAAAGCCATGCACTGAAAGGGAAGGAGATCCAGTCCCAGAGGTGGTAGGTGGCTTGTCTGAGACGTTCATAAATTAGGATGAGATGGGATCCTGATCCCAGAGGAGCTCAGAGTGTAACCAATAATCCCTCTACAGTGACATGTTGTGTCATATAGGAGTGACCTGGGCACTTTGGGATCTAGGAGGAGGAGCAGTCCTCTTTCCTCGCGGAATCTCTCTGGCATAGGTTCTGAAACTCTGTGGTACGTTAGAAGCCCTTGGGGAGCTTTCAGAAGTCCCATGTCCAGGCTGTACCCAACACCTGTTAAATTCAAATCTCTGGGGTGACATCCAAGGAGGACTTCTTTTTCAGACAGGGCCTCACTGTGTCATCCAGGCTAGAGTGCAGTGATGTGACCATAGTTTTTAAAGTTTAAAGTGCACATGAGCCATCCAGAGACCTTGTTAAAACGTAGATTTGAATCTGAGGGTCTGGGTGGGTCCTTGGAATCTGCATTTCCAACAAGCTCTCAGATGAGGCGGAGGCTCCTGGGCGTGGGCCCCGCTTTGAATGCAAGAGGGCAGAGGGGGTGTTGGCAGACTCTGGCTGTGGGCCAATCTGGTCTGCTACCTGCTTTGGTATAGTCCATGAATTAAGAATGGCTTTTATGAATTTACATGGCCGAAAACATTCAAAGGAAGATTAACATTTTGTGACACATGGAAAGTACATAAAATTGAAATTTCAGTGTCCACAAGACAAATGTGGACTATTTATTTTCCATCCCCCATGGAAAATGACGTCTAAGTCAGGCCTTGAAGAATGAGTAGGAGCTCTCCCGGAAGAGGGAGTAGAAAGCGTCCCACATACCAGGAACAGCGTGGGTGCCAAGACACAGGCGTGTGGAACCTGCTTCAGAGGGAGCGAGGCCGGCTCTTAAACCACAGCGCAGGTGCAGGCATCATAGATAAACGACCTTCCTTCCTCACTGCGTCCCAGGGCTCACAGCTCCCTGCTCTGTTTCCCTGGGAGACCCCCGATTCCAGGTTCCCTGCAGCCAGCTCTCTGCAGTCCCAGCTCGTGCTTAGGCCGCTGGCTTCTCTCCCTCCTGTCTTGACCTCCCACCCACAGTCATAAAATCTCCCCGTCCTGGGGCCATTGCCTCACACGCCCTTCCCTGGTTTCGGTGAATCTCACAAGCTTCTTGTAACCTGCTAATAATGGCTATCGAGTGAGAGGCAGATGTGTTTCTTGGAGTTGCAGAAGGTGCAAGTTAAGAGAACAGCAAGGTGTCATCGCGTACCAGGCCCCGCCGTGCAGACGGGGATGAGGTGGCTCTGAGTGTGTACGGCCGAGTGAGGCCTGGATGCCACAGACTGGTGAGGTCCTGCCCCGCTGTGACTGTCGTAAGTGGGGAGCCCTCCGTGCGTCCCATTTCACAAATAGAGAAGTGTGAGTGCAAGACTGTGTGTGTGTGTGTGTGTGTGTGTGTGTGAAAACAAATCAATTCCTAACTTCTAATGAAAGGACATGTGGTAGACACTTTCACAAACAATCTCATTTTAGCCTCAAAATAACTCCATGCAGTGAGCTAGGAATCTGCAGTTTTACAGAGGGGGAGACTGAGGCCCAGAGGGCAGAAGCAGCAGGTGGGTGCCTTGCTGCCTGTGGGCGACAGTGCCAGTAGCCGAGCCCAGAGCCTCCAGCTGACATTTATCTGGAGCCGGATCCTGCACCTCTCCCTGCTGCCATCAGAACTCAGCGCCCGACAGCCTCCGCTTAAGGTCTGACCCAAGCTTCCTAATAAGGGAAGGATGCCATCATCTGATCTCTCCCACTTCATGAACTATGTGTTGGTTCTGGTGACTGTATTTTTTTAAGGAAAGAAAAGGAAGGCAAACCCATTTTCTCAGGCCAGATGCTCGGGCCGTGCGGAGTTCAGGATCCATCTTGGCAATGGCAGGAGGGTCGAGCCTAAAGCCCACCGTCTGGGGTCTGGAGGGATCACATAAAACAAGGGACACTGGAAAAATATCCGTGAAAATGGCAAGACCTAGAATTACTTCTCACGCATTCCCTGATGAAACCTGGTGGGGGCAGGTAAGATACTAACAATTGCCCCGGGGTTACAGGAAGGGGGTTCAGTGACCTAATGGGGAGATACAGGCAGGAGGATGGGCCAGTGTGGAGAATGTGTGAGATGCAGTGGTCCCTGTCTCCCTCTCCTTCTGTAAAGGGGCTGCCCGCCCTCCCACAGCCCCCAGGCCCAGCCCTCTTCCCCCCAAGGGAGGATAATTAAATGTCGCAGAGTCTCCTGTCACCTCCTAGGGAGAAGAGGGCCTGGGACATTTCCAGGGGCCTTCCACCTGTCTGCCTGTGTGGAGACAGCTCTGTGCTCCTCCCTAGGGCACGTTCCCAGCTGACTTGAAAGGGGATTTCACGGAACCCTGTAACCAGAGGCGGAAGTTTCCCCTAAATGCTTTTCTCACTTGGAGCAGCCCAAAATGTAGCTACAGAGAGGATGTCAGTTTCCAAAAGGAAAAATACAAAAGGAGGATTGGGAAGCTCTGTGCTTAGTCATTTTTGTTTTTGAGGCTATCGCTATCAGCCAGGCGGGCTCGCCACCAGGGCTGCCGTAATCATGATTTTATTCCACACTCCCAGCAACTGGCCAGAAACATTGATTGCTCTGGCTTCAGGTGACGCCTGTGAGGTCGAGTCTCGGGAAATTGCCTATGGTCACACAGCCGGTCAGAGAGGGACTCCAGCTGGGGCCCAAGGGACTGCGCATCCCCCACCTTCCTCTCTGCTTGCCAAGAGGGCCCAGTGCCTGCTGCCCTGCAGGGCCAGTGTCTGTCCCGAAGGAGCGAGGCTGGAGCCCACCGCTGCCGACCCTGCACTAGAACTTAGCCTCTTTTGTCACTTCCCCGGCACAAAGCTAGATCGCAGGTGAAGGAAAGACTGGCCCTGCAGGGGCGCCTGCCGGC